AGAGGCACGAGGTTCTCTGTCCTGTTACCATCGTGCCAAGATCACCAGTTCGGAACCCCCTACCGTGATCTACAGGATTCAACTTTGTCAGCTGGTCGCAAGTGCGATCGCCTCTTGGAGCAATCCAACAAGCTCTGGGAGGCAGTCTGCCACCAAGTGGTAGACATGCACCACAAGCTCGACCACCTCACGCCAAGATCAGGGGAGCTTCGCCGCGCCGTTGCCCAAGCGGAGATCGAAGCGGCCTACAAGATCTCGGAAGACAATGCCCGCCAGACATTGCCGAATGTAGGGCCACGAATGAAGCTGAATGCCGGCGGGATGATGGCGACGACAAGGAGGAGGACGACAGCAACAAGGAGGTCAACTACGACGACGATGAATAACATCAAGTAGTTTTGTTAGGTTCTAGAATTATGCATGTTAATTACGTAGAACTTCTGCATATCATGTAATGATATTAAGTATCGTCTTTATGTTTTATGAAGTTTTCCATTGAAACCTCTCATGTCCACTCGTGCTTGTAACTGCTTGAACTTGTCCCAAAATATATACTTCTGACTACCATCTTGGCACCATAAGTGTAATCACAAGTATATATATATTGTGATTTGGCCTCACATTGGGAAATTTAATAATATAAGCAATTGATATCTAAAAAATTCTTAAGTTTTCAAATTATATTCTATTACACTACAAATCATTACAGAATATGCACATGTCTAATGACAACCGAATACGTTGCCGAAAATCAGGTCATAACGTCACTAAAGTTGTCAAGGGCGCTGCCCCGAGGGAAAAAACAGCTGGTGATAGTCTTCCGTCATATAAAATGATATTAGGCAACATTTCATATCCCGTTACCAGGGTTTTCGTCACAAAATAGCACAAATTTTGTAGTGACGGTGTCAAATTCCTCTTTCTGTAACCAGAAACAGACTACAGGTCAAATCTCTGGAGGAAGAACATGAGGTGATGGTGTCTCCATCTCAAGAAAAGCTTCCGTGATTTTTTGGGAATTTTTTAGGTACATATAGGATTTTATGGCAGCGGAATCACCAAAAGATGGTGGCCAGGGACCCCACATGCCCCCGTGGCGCGCCCTAGGGAGGCGCCACTTGTCCGTGTCACCCGTGGTGGCTCCCCTCTGGTCCGTTTTCATTCCATAATTTCTCAAATATTCTGAAACAAATCTCCAAAAATCCATGTCCAGTTTCGAGCATTTTTATTTCTACACAAAAATAATACCAAAGGATTTCTAGTGAAAGCTCTGTCAGTCCAGGTTAGTTTCATTCAAATCATATAAATTAGAGGCAAAAGTAAGAGCAAAAATGTTTAGAAAATTAGATACATTTGGGATGTATCATCCCTCCACAACGAAATCCCTCATATGCTTGCTTTTGGTGGTGAAGGGGGACCATTTCCCCTTTGTACTATTGGCGAAAATCTTGTTGGTCTTACCGGCGATGTCGGCCTGTCCACTACTGCTCCAGCCCGAATTTGGTGGGACGGCCGATGAGCACCTTAGTCCACGACCTCACCGCGTTGCCCATCTCTCAGTGCCGGGAACCCATCTAGTGAGCTAAGGACACCTACCCTAAACCCCTCTCTCTTTTCTTCTTGATTACTGCTTCATTTTCCATGATTTGAGCTTCCCCTCCTTGTTGTGGAATATACTAAAATATTCGGCCAATGTTGTAATTTTGTGAAATATCCCGTCATTTCACAAATTTTATGCTGGTTTTTGGTTTGTGAAATGTTTAGCCGATATTGTATTTATGAAAATGAAATGCATTCGAAGACCTCAAATTGAAATGGAAGTGAAGATTAGTAAAACTGACACATTGTGTATCTAGTAATTTGCTATTCTCAAACTCAAAAGGAAGTCAAGATCTCTGGAGCAAATATATGTAATATCCGGTAATTCTTGTCTTAAATTTGAAATAGATGTTAATGTTTGTAAAGTTGCTATTTGATCATAATTGGTAATTTATAGATTTGGAACTGAAGTGGATGTTATATTTGTGAAATTGGTGATATCATTTATATTTTATTTCAGTGTGTAACTGATTGTTTAAAATATGTGAAACCGATTATGGCAAATACTCCCTCCATCCCAAACTAAGGTGTCTCAAGTTTTTACTAACTTTTGTACTAAGTTTGAGACACTTATTTTTGGGACGGAGGGAGTATGTAAAACCGATTATTTTAATGTGTGAAAACCTATTTTTAATTTATGAAAAAATATTTTAATGTTTGAAACTAAATATTTATGTAATTGAATCAGTTTGTGAACTATGAAATCTTTTTTCAAAACTATTTTATTTTTGAAAAGATGGAAGACCTCTCGACCTTTTGTATCATTGTGATGCAGACAACATATTTATTAAAAGCATCTCCAGCCGTTGGCCCCCAGGAGGCGCTAAAAATCGCCCCTCGGAACGCACCGGCGAAAACCGCGTGCTAGGGGCGTGATGGCCCCCAGTCACGGCGCCCATGAGTTATTTGAAAACCATAAACTAGGCGCAAATTCATCCAAACTTCGGCGAGTTCATACATATTTAAAATATTTTACAAAAAAAGAAAAAAAAGCTACTCGCCGCGGCCCGCCGTCGCCCTCGCCGCTCCTCGCCACCCGCCGCCCTTGAAGCTCTACATGCCCAGGAGCCTGTAGAACCGCGTGTCGCCGTCGCCGTCGTCGTCGTCGCCGCCGCCTCCTCTGCGGCTGTCGTCCCTGCTGCACCTCTCCCCAGGTTGGCGCGGCGGGTTGGACGGTCCGGGGGCGTCCTCGTCCTCGTCGCTGTCGAGGATCACCACGACGTGCTCGTCCTCGCGCCCACGCTTGCGGGCGGCTATCTCCTCCAGGGCTCGGCGCTGCCGGACCATCTCGTCGCGGAGGTAGTCGTCCCGCGCCCACTTTCTCCTCGTCGGAGAAGCCGCGCCGGACTATGGCCTCGTACTCCGCGGGGAGGCCGGGCTCCGCCTTCGGCCTGACGAGGACGAGGCGGCCAGAGGTGGGGGAGGAGTCGGTGATGCAGACGCCGGAGCTGCGGGTGCGGTGGCTGACCACCGTGTCCTGGGGCTCCGGCTTGACGGGGCGGAGGCAGGGAGAGCCGGTCGAGCGGCCGGACAAGGAGGAGGACACCCCCGGGTCCATGCGCCTCGGCGTCCACGAGCTCCCACGCCAGCGGGAGAATGACGGGGGAGCGGGATACTCCAGCCTGGGCGTGTTGCCGCCCTTGATGTACTCGAGAACGGCCTCCAGCGTGCAGCCGGGCACGCCCCACCATCGGCAGCGGCCTTCGAAGTTGAGCCTCCCGGAGGGCACGTGGCGGGCGAGGGACACACGTCGTCCGGTCTTCACTGCGCCGCAAGTGAGGCATCAATGGAGGAGGCTGACCGGCGCGGCAGCACGCGACAACTTTGGCATTGATTCACAGCGGGAACCGAGGCGATGAGGACGACGAAGCGGCGAGAAGAGCCGAGTCGCTGCCAAGGAGGGTCCGCCGACTTTCGCGCCAAAAACGATTTGGTCGGCGCCCCCAAGAGCCCCCCAGCGCGCCGGGTTCAGCCTGGGTCCGTCGACGCCAATTTCGGTCCGAGCCGGCGAAAAAAGGTCCTTTGGGAACGCGATTGGGCCGATTTTTCGATGCCGACGGCCGAAATATCGCCTGGGGGGCCTTGTTGGAGGCGCGGCTGGAGATGCTCTAACTCCCAGGTAACAACATCCGTTATATAGTGCAACAAGCAAAGGAAACTAACACCACTTTTATGAAGGTATTTGGATCAAAAATTTATTAAATAACAGATGTCACTTTTTGAAATGAAATGATTGAAGTCAATAGTTTGAAATAATTGTAACGGGTGGAATCACTGTCTTGAAATAATGATCACTCTTTAGGAAAAGAAATAGACATGCATGGATTTGTTTGGTGAGAGGAGAGGGGACGTGAGCTGGCACGTCCTTTGCGGGTACGTGCAAAGTGATCGAGAGAGAGCAGGGCCTCAAGCCACACTGCCACAGGGCCCAGGTAGTCAAATACGGTAATACTAAAATTAATGAAGAGAAGAATGCAATACAATCACGCATGCATGTGAGCCGACACCTTTACGTGCGGAAAACACGGCTACGCGCCGGCGCCGCTAGAAACCGATTTGGCGCCAACGCACGCCGTGTCTCGATACAAGCTACGTACGTGGTGCGGATGGGTGCTGATAGGAGGGAGATTTGGCATTTCCTAATCAAGGGGCGTACGGGCTCGGCTGGCCGGGTCCAAGAAAAAGTTGACAACAGCCACGTAAAGGCACATGCCAGATGATATGCTTGGTGTTGCCGGACCCCACGCGCACAGTGACCTCGTTAGCCCCAACCAACCACCTGCATTACCAAACGCCCCGTACTAACTAACTCTTGTAAGGGCACACCAGAAGGCAAAGATAGTTACACCAAAATACACACTTCCACCGTCCGGAACGAATCTAGATATATACATCCGTGTGAGCGTCAACTAATTTCGGGCAAAGGGAGCAGTATACGGAAGAGTTAGTTCTTGGAAGGAGGTGTTCAGAAAACTGAGCAGTTTAATCCGTGCAGTGCTGTTGCTTGTAAGGATCATTTTCTAGGTACGATCATTTTCCGTTGGCGCGCCCGTAAGACCGTGTGATATAATGTAGGAGTACTAGGGTATAATGGATGCATGATAGGATCGCAGCTCATTAAGAGCTGTCACGAATGGAATGGCCGACGGGATCCTCGCCAGTCTCACAACTTGCGCAGCCCGCCCGTGATCAGTATGGTTCATTTTTCCTTCGGATCCCCTGGCAACAACCGCAGGAATGGACACTATATAGTTCACGGGTTAGCGGCAGCTTAGAGGTGGTACCACTCCACTGACCGCTGCCACTGCTACTCGTCTCCAAGTCGTAAAGGAACTGGAGAGGCTGCGAGGGAGGGCCGGGGGAACTAATACTATAGCACTGCTATACCAAGCTCGCCATTAATGGCAGCTGCCATGTCGAGGAGAGCGGTGGCCGTGGCCGCGGTGCTCGCCGCCGTCACCTCGCTGCTCGCCCCCGCCGCCGTGGCGCAGCTCTCGACGTCCTTCTACAGCGGCAGCTGCGCGAGCCTGGAGTCCATTGTGAGGTCGGGCATGGTGTCCGCCGTCCAGCAGGAGCCGCGCATGGGCGCCTCCATCCTCCGCCTCTTCTTCCACGACTGCTTCGTCAACGTACGTCGCCGAAAGTTCCTTCCTGCTACTCTTCTACCTCCATCCATACGCTGCAAATGGTCTCATGTCCATTTCAAATCCATGGCCGCGCGCAGGGCTGCGACGGCTCGGTGCTGCTGGACGACTCGGCGACGCTGACGGGGGAGAAGAACGCCGGGCCGAACGCCAACTCGCTGCGCGGCTTCGAGGTGATCGACGCCATCAAGTCCCGGGTCGACGCGGCGTGCCCCGGCACCGTGTCCTGCGCCGACATCCTCGCCGTCGCCGCGCGCGACGGCGTTAACCTGGTAATTTAAGCTCGCTCGCTACTTACCATGCACGCATGCACGACATCCCCGTGGAGATATATAGATCTGTTTATTTACGTCCGCCTGCCGACACCCGTACAGCGAACTAGCTGTCGCCTTATTATTTCAGAGAGGAAAAAGCGCCGAACTAGGCACTCGATCGCCTTGGCCAAAAGGGTTCACTTATTCCATCGTCTTTTTAACAACGCACGCGCGACAAACGAGCACTAGTCAGCACATGTGGGCGGGCTAGCCTCGCAGAACCCGCTTTACGGTGAGGTTGTTGCCGCTGCATGCATGATGTTGGCAACTTGATCTTCTGATGTGGGTTAGCATTTTTTTTATATAGTAACGAACATGGTACAGATGTGGACATTTCATCACACTGACGTACGTAGAGATTACACTGTGAATACATGCACGTGTACCCCTGTCGTTGGGAGCAAGAGAGACTGAGACCACGCGTTTTTTTTAATAACGAACATGGTACAGATGTAGACATTTCACCACGACGTACTTGGCTAAACACGGCACTGTCTCGATCTAGCTAAACAAACATCGCTCGAAAGTCTGAAATAATTGAAAAAAAATAGGCACACCCATGCTAAGTCTATAACTTAAACAGGAGTGAAAGGAAACAAACTAAGTTCACCGTCTTTTGAGCTACTTGATCTATCAATTTTGTCGTGTATGAATAATTGCTCAGTATATGAGCATGTAGTTACTATCCGTACTTGCTTGATTACCGCATGTGCCTATTTGCTCACATGATGATGACGTACGTGCGTGCATGTGCAGCTGGGCGGGCCGTCGTGGGGGGTGCCGCTGGGCCGGCGGGACGCGCGCACGACGACTCAGGCAGCGGCGAACAGCAACCTGCCGTCGCCGTCGTCGAGCGCGGCCACGCTGATCTCGGCGTTCGCGTCCAAGGGGCTGGACTCCCGCGACATGGTGGCGCTGTCCGGCGCGCACACGATCGGCGCGGCGCGGTGCGCGAGCTTCCGGTCGCGCGTGTACAACGACAGCAACATCAACGCCGGGTTCGCGACGCGGCGGCGGCAGGTGTGCCCGGCGCAGGGCGGCGTGGGCGACGGCAACCTGGCCCCGCTGGACGCCTTCAGCTCCGTGCGCTTCGACAACGGCTACTTCCGGAACCTGCTGAGCCGCTTCGGCCTCCTTCACTCGGACCAGGAGCTCTTCAACGGCGGGCCCGTGGACTCCATCGCGCAGCAGTACGCCGGCAACGGCGGCGCCTTCTCGGCCGACTTCGTCACCGCCATGATCAAGATGGGCAACATCAGCCCGCTCACCGGATCCAACGGCGAGATCCGCAACAACTGCCGGAAGCCCAACTAAAGGAGTACCACGAACGAACTCCCCGAGATTCGTGGGGTTCGCTCGGCATTGCCAGCTAGTAGCATTAGGCCGCCGGACGGTGTTGCTTTTTTTCTGGTGGGGGAGAGGGTGGAGTGTGAAGGAAGGAAGGGAAGGCAACGACATGATTTGGTGGAGTGGCGCTGTCAGGTGAGGGGAGGAACGTACGGGACCGGGGCTCGTGCATGTCTTTTTTCTCGTCAAGTTTTGATTGCTCACCAGGGGGGCCGTGCGTGTCGCCGGCGGCGACACGTCGCGGCGTCGGCATTGCTTTGGTAAGTCGGGTGCATTCTTTATCTGTACCATATCATGATTATAGTTTCAGATGTAAGTCTTTGTAAGTACGTACGTGGCTCCAACGATGATTGTTTTGCAAGGAAAGAAATTAATAATAAGAAAGGACACTTTGCTCATGTCATGTGGTGTGTTTCATCAAGGCTGTACCAAACCCGGGCATTGCGGGTAAGAGTACAGTTCTCTCGATGGGATCTTCAACTGAACATACGTCCTATGAAACTAGGGCATTGACCGGGTTGGGCCGGGCCTTGCCAAGCCCGACCACAGAGCCAAGCACTATGAACAAATCTATTCTAAAACCCAGCTAATCAAACTATCACTCCATCAACTAGGGCGGATTGATGATGAGCAAACCAAGGTTGCTAAGTGGACCAAACCAGAGCAGCTACAGT